ACCCCTTTCGCTCAGACTTCATGAGGTACTGCGAGAAACCCCTTCCGTTCGTGTGTGAAAGGATGAACGTCACGTCTGTGGAGAAGCTTGATCCAGAGCCACACCCAGCCGGCATGTCCTGTATCAACGGCTCCTTGACCTTCGGAGACAAGGTTTGGCATCAGTGGCGTTGTGATGCTTGGACATGCTCTCTTCATTCCGGCACCTCAGTTTGTCGCTGATGCTCTTTTAGTTTTCTGCCCACATGCCCACTAAGAATCCGCCATAATCCACCATCAGCAAACCTGTGTGTGTATGTGCGTACGTAGTCTTTGTGTAGGAAGCACCTTTGTAGTTCCCAGTATTTCCTTGATGTTGCTCCTTAGTTGCATGGGATGTATGCTCTGACTTCACACTACTGCCCAGCTCAGTAAGCAATGATTACATTAAATGTAGAAAATAATCCATCCAACTTTCTTACAGTCTGGTACAGGATTGTGGTGAACTTGGGAAGCAGTGGACACAAGGCAGGGGATACCCTGGAAATGCAGTTACACAATCACACTTGTGTAAAACCTATTAACTGCACACAGCACAGAGATCCTCATTTTGTTTGATGAAGTTTTACATGTATGAATGTGTAGGTTGGTGGGAATGGAATGACTTGTAATGTAGATTTAAGTGATATGACAGAGCAGAGATGTCAGAGCATGAAGGGATCTTGTCTGTTTCTGCAGTGCTACACAGTGATCAAACCACTGTATCTGTCATTTGAACTGGCCAGTGATTACTGCCAATCACTGAAGGGCACCCTTCCTGTCATCTCCAGCCAACTAGAGCAAGGTCAGTGGGTTTCCCCAGCGGCGACCTCGGGATTCCGCGTGACAAACGCACAAGGCCGCACAAATCGACAAATCTTCTCCCATCTGTTTTCTTTCCCCCTCAGATTTCTTCACGTCCCTCCTTCCTGACCAGCCCATGAAGTTCTGGTTAGGCCTCAAACTGAATAAGTTAACGGGCTGGGAGTGGGTCGACAAGTCTCCAATCAAATTTATGAACTTTAACCCCCTGTTGGATGGATACTACGGACCTCTGAGAAGAAATGCAAGTGCCTTGTGCTGCCTGACATCTGTAGCCACACTTTGTTTGGTCTTCAACATTGACTCATGACATTTCCTTGTTTTCTCTCAGCTTCTAAATCCAGGGGGTATGGAAAATTGCTCCTATATAATCCGTGATCCTCATCCGGAAATTATGGGCACCTGGAACTATGTACCTTGTACAGACTATCAGTATGTCTCCATCTGCCAACATTACACAGGTAAACAAGCTAGTTAACTTCCAGGCAGTTAAGATAAGACATGTCGTGCCAAACTGTTACAGCATGAATGAGTTTGGTGAGTGTAGACCAGTGTTTCCCAGTCCGGTCCTCAGGGATCCACAGACAGTCCATGTTTTTGCTCCCTCCCAGCCTGGTTGGGAGCTGAGAGGGAGCAACAATGTGGACCGACTGTGGGTCCCCGAGGAACAGACTGGAAAACACTGGTCTAGATTATGTCACTCATTGGAGTGGTGAGTCAGACAGCATTGTATGGCCATGGCAAAAATGAATCCAGGTCTCGATCCCTTTTCCAGACAAACCGGAGAGTGTTCAGGTTCCCCAGGGTCAGTTTAAGGTCGGCAACCATACCTACAGAATCCTGCAGGGGAAGCTGACTTGGTCTAAGGCAATGGAACAGTGCAAAGAACTGGACATGAACCTGGCCAGTGTGACAGAGCTCTTCCAGCAGGCCAGCCTTAGCGTGACTGCCAGCAGAGCCAACATGTCGCTCTGGATCGGCCTGTACAGTGCAGATGTAAGAGATCATTTGTATTTTTTAAATTAGTAACATGTATCAATAAAGTATCAATTATTATTAGTATTATTAGTAGTAGTAGTATTAGTATTATTATATTATTATTATTAGTATGCCGAAAGAGGCATCAACGTCTGCCTCCTTGGATCCTTGGATCCTTAAGTATTTGTGAACAATGCTTCTGAATTAACTGCTCTCCTGTTCCCAACCCCCCCACTCCAGAATTACAATTACAGATGGACAGACAACAGTCACGTGACCTTCAGCCGCTGGTCTCCCGAAGCCACGAGCGGGCGATGTGTCTACCTGGATACCGACGGCTTCTGGAAGGCCATGGATTGCGAAGCGGAGCTGCCGGGTGCGATCTGCCACATCCCGCAAGGTGAGGCTTGGGATAGAGGGACTGACAACAGAAACAATATAGCTGACTGTGGTTTATAGTCATGGGGTGAAGAGCTGGGATTGGTGTGTGTATATACAACCGCGGAAGAAATTAAGAGACAAACTATATTCTTAAATCTGCGTTTTTAAATCCTGGTTTAATCCTGGTTCTGCTGGCAGAGGCTACACTGAGCGTCAGGCTGCTTCCAGGCTCAAAATTTCTAAGACAGCAGTACACAAGAATAAGGTGAAATAGGAGACACTGGGAATGACCAAAAACCAGCCAGATAGAGGGCAGAAGTGACTTTCTAATGCCAGAGATGACTGTCAGCTTATTCAACGGTTCCTCGTGTATTGTAGGACGACATCAAGTGACCTTCAAAAGGAACGGGAAACATTAAGTGCAGGTGTGACGTGCACTGCTAGGACAGTTCATATCAGGCTCTTAGAAGTAGGACTGAAGTCCCATAAAGCCAGGAAGAAGCCCTTCATTAATGAGAAAGCGAGAACCAGGCTGCAGTTTGCAAAAAAAACATTTTATTCACAGATGGACACCTAAAAATTGAGAAATGAGTGAAACAAAAAATTGTGCTGTGGTCTCAATTTTTCTGCAGTCCAGTTGTATGTGTGTGTGTGTGTGTGTGTGTGTGTGTGTGTACACATACAAACATAAATATAAACTGTATATATGAGGAATTTTGTGCCTTATGCCCCCCCCCCCCCCATCAATGACCCTGTATTTGATTAATTGATTAATTGTTGGAAGAGGAATGTCAACTTAAATTTAACTCAAAGCAGTCGTAACAGTACTGGAGGATTTTCTTTAGAAATGGCTGCCAGTTACAGTGCCGGTCAAACCCACTGAGTGACATAGACAGACACCTAGGGTGCCATTTCTGAGGGGCACCAACTTAGCCAGCCAAATTCACTGTGTCTCCAAGTATCTCGCTGCGACCTGCAGGAAGGACATCCAACCCGGCCTACCATACCTCATGTCAGTCATGCCGTTTGTTCAAGAAGCAGGTTGTTTTGCTTGATTTACTCATACCCAGCTTTACATTGATAGGCTACATTGTATTTGCAGTTCGTAAGGTTATCAGCTGCGATATAACAGTGTATGGATGGTACCACTGTGGCATTGCTAGTTAGCTAATAACTTGCCTTCGTGAAGTTGGAATCCCATATGAAGCATGCTGAACAGTCATTTGAGCAGCCGCTATAGTATTTCATGATGCATAAAGTCTTTAAGTTGTCAAATTTTAAGCCTTGTTAATTTCACAGAGGCTATATTATCAGCAATTTGTTATTTACCTAGTTGTAGTTTGGTAGTTAGTTGGAAAGACATATAACTAGCAGCAATACAACCATAGTCTTTTTGTATTTATTGAGAGCCATTGGAGTGTCTAGCAGAAACACTGACAACAAAGTAACAAATGAAATTATCCTGGAATTAAAACTAAATATTTTTTTACTTAGCAACATAATTGGGCTGGTTGGATGTCTTCGGTCTCCTTCGACTCGCTCACATTCATGTTTTCAATCTTATCCTCATTGGGCCTCATTCGCCAATATTTTCTTAAGAATTCTCTTAAATATGTTCCTACGAAATTTGTTAAGAACAGCCTACTTTGGATTCATGACGTGTCCTTAAGTAGCAGAATTGTTCGCACCTTTATTCTTAAGAATGATGAATCCCACGTCTTCGTAAGTGAAAGCGCGTGCCAGTTTGTCCTAATTAGCATAGGGAAACGCCCTGCAATTTCCCATAAAAGGGCATGAGACTGTAGGGCCGTGTGCAAGGATGGCGAAGAGGCGCGCAGGCTGTGCGCCGCTTGGCACTAAGAGGAAAAAAAACTTCAGTAATGCTGAAGTAGAAGTATTAATACAGTAAAATCCCGTTATAGTGGACTCGCTTATAACGGAATATCATCTATGGCGGACGAGGTCCGCTGGTCCCGGCCGTGCGCCTTTAAGAACATGCAGAACAAGCATCGGATATAACGGTATTTCGCTTATAACGGACAAACAATTTGGTCCCCAGGGCAGCTTTTAGCTGTAGTTTTGTTCAGCTATAACGGACATGCAGCGCCGCCTGCAGCGTGGCGTGCCGGTGATATCCAGCGCAGATACGTAGTCGGGATTATTAATAGTCACGCATCTGGTCAGGTAAAGTTGGATTACTACATGTACAATATAATAATCTATACCACAAGTGTGTCTGCTGGGGTGTGGCATGATTAAATGGTGTCCTGTAGTTGTGTTCTGGGCATACAGCAACTCTGGATATAACGAACTTTGGATATAATGGACTGTTTCCAGGTCCCTTGAAGTCCGTTATAACCGGATTGTACTGTAAAGGAGGTAAATGCAAATAGTTTAAGAACAAATTTGTTCGTAAGAACGGTTGGTAAATGAGGCCCATTGTTCCTTTGTCCCCATGTCATTTTTTTTTTACAGCTGTGGTCACTCCAGAACATAAGTCACCTGTGAAATGTCCCCATGTCAGCGGTGGGCCCATCTGGATCCCATTCCGGAACAACTGCTACACGTTAGGGGTGGGTTCTTCCAGGTGGTACGACACTGCAAGGACGGACGTCCGGCAAAGATGCAAGAAACTAGGTACCTCAGGTTATTTGTCGGCTATGATAGGAACCTGACCCAAGTGATGTTTGTAAACTGTAGGAGTGATGCTAACAGCTCGAGTCATTGATTCTGTTTTCACAGACAAGAACGCAGAGATTCTAACCATTCGAGATGAAACGGAGAACAAGTTTGTGAAGGAACAACTCCTGCCTTTCAAAGATCTCGCCCAGTCTGTTTGGCTTGGACTTTTCAAAGACGAAAATGGTATACACAGTAGTGTTTTCTATTTTTGAAACCCATTGTATTTTCCAAATATAAGCTACTTTGCTTCCAAACACGCCCCCCCCCCCCCAAAAAAAAAAAAAAAATATATATATATTCTTTGGTATTCATACTTTTGGGGGGGTGGCTAAGCAGGTCTGGTGTTACTGGTGTGTTACAGGTCATTTAAATAAATAATAATAAGTAAATAAGTAATAATCATTTCTGGTCTTAAAGTCACTTTAGTAGTGATGGTATTGTGATGCATTGTCACCTGTAATAAAAACGTATCTTCGTATTTCATTCTGTAGACAACAGGTGGAAGTGGTATGATGGCACCAATGTCCAGTATTCTAATTGGCCGAACGGAAGACCAGACGTGACAGGAGACTTCATGGTGGGCCTCAACCTCTTTGGGGCCTGGGAAGTGGTCACAGAATCGCTCTTTTCTCAATTCAAGCAAAGAAGCATTGTGGTCTGTAAAATTGACAACGGTATGTCTTATTTTTTTACCGAACAAAAAGAAAATAATGACAGATATTTTGTACTAAGTGAGCTTTTGTAACTGACCTGATGTTTTCCTGATGTATCTAGATCTTGGGCAAATATTTTCTGTGGAGGGCCAAATCTGAGCGTTTTTCATGTCTCATGAAAACCACAATAGATTTGTCAGATTTTACTATACATTTGTTATTAATTCAAAGAAGGCCATTTTAATGACCACTCAGGACAGTAAAATAGCTCTGGGCTGCTTTAATTGGGCAGTACAGGGACTCAGTGTGTCACACTCATTCTTCTCTGCTCTGCCTTTCCGTGCTTGCAGTTTGCATGTTCTTCCCATTTTCCTTCTTGCCAGATAACTCAGTTTCCTCCTGTGGTTAGGAGACTCAGTGTCTCTGAATTGCTCATTGTCTCTATCCGTTAGTGTGTCCTCTGAAGAACTGGTATCTTGCCCAGTGGGGATGTTTGCCATCACTCAAATCCTGCATTTACATGGGACCCCCAAGGTTTGAGGGCCCCCTGTTGGCCTCAAGCAGTCACCACACTGGGGTGGGGGTGGGGAGGGGCACCAAAGTTACTTTTTGAATGGGCCCCCAGAGACAAGAGTGGTTGGAAGATGAATGTACCTAAACAAGCAATACATTTTAATGTCTTAATTATCGAAACACTGTCATTAAAATTAATGCTGTTTTTGTCTTCTTGTTTTTTCGTCAGACCCGAAAGAGCAATATAGGACATCTCTAGAAGACCTGGGGACCTACGGCAACCTGAGTTACACCATCATCCAGAAGAAGCTGACTTGGTTTGAGGCTCTGCGCGAGTGCCATAAAACCGGGGCCCACCTGGCCAGCATCCATGACTCCACCCACGACAGACATCTGGAGCAGATCTCCACAGTCGATGGCTTCCCGCTGTGGATTGGCCTGTCCAGACAGCAGGTACATCCTGGTCGGGGAATCCCTATTTAAGACACTCTTACCATTTCCCAGAATTCCATTTTCTGATATGGTCAATAAGTAATTTGCAATTTATACATTGGAACCTCTCAAAATCCTCTTGTCGATGGATCAACATCTGTGACTTCGCTTCTGCTCTCTCTGGTGTATGAGTAGAATAGGCAAGCGTGTCAGTAAGGTATTTCTTTAAGTAATACTGTGCAGTCCTTATGAAACATATGGTAACATATTGTAAGCAATGTGATTCCATGCACAGACAACACACTCAGAGTTGTGTTAATGACTAAAAGCATAGACATAATGAATAATAGACACCTACTGCAGCGTGAACCAACTCGAGCGTTTAACTACCCAAGTGGTGCTCACAGAATCCTTATAATGACAGCTTATGTGCTTAGCGGAGCATGTCCCTGCATTTGCACTGCAATTCTTAGGTGCTTCTGAGCACTGAAAACATTTGCTTTAAAGCCGTTAAGTTATTACTTCTGAATGTGTGCCCTGCAATGGACTGGGATCCCATTCAGGAAAATGATTTTTTTTTTTTTACATAAAACTCTCTACATATGGCCCTAGTTTGATGAATGTAAAATGGTCACACAACCCGTGTCAGTTTCACATATAAAATTCGTCCTGTAATTCATCAGTATTGATCATTACAATCTTAGAAAAAGTTCTGTATTAATGGCAGAAGTCTCCCTGTTTTCTTAGATGAATGGCTACATGACTTATGAATGGTCTGATGGATCCGCATACAACTACGTTCCAACTGAGTTCTTGGACTTTGAAGACACAACTAGCAGCTGCGTGTCGATTAGCGTGAACGGCTCATGGATACAACGAGACTGTCAGTCTCAGCAGGAAGGAACCATCTGTTACATGAACAACATTGAGAGTGAGCACCTGATCAGTTCTAGAATTGAATAGAATTTGGTAGGGCTTCATAATTAAACAATATGAATAAAAGGTTAAAATTGTGCCTTACAGCCATAATCTGGCCACCAGTGGCGGGAAAGATAGATGGTTTTTATTTCTGATTTACAGGGTCAGACCCCCAGCCCATCTCTGCGTCACATAGATGTCCAGAGGGAAACAATGCATCTCGGTGGATTGAGTACAGGGACCACTGCTACGCATTCAGTATGACATTCTTCAACTACAGCATCTACACGATGGACAGTGCCAAGAGAATGTGTCAAAGTTTGGGTGCGTGTGCTTTACGTTTCCAAGGGCTGGCGATGACGAATCAGTATAACATTCATCTTAAACAGACAGTAAACTGAAAATTGTTGCGTTTGTTGAATGAGTCGTGATTCCGCTTTTCTGGGAATCAAACATGGAGGTGTTTACACATATACACTCTTCTGTTGCCACAGAAGCCTCGTCTCAGCTCCTCACCATACAGGACAGGGAGGAGAATGACTTTATCTCGAAGTACCTGTCAGAGAACCCCGTCCTCACCAGCAGAGTCTGGCTCGGCATGGATGTAGACTCCAACGGTAAATGTTCAAGACTTACTACCTCTGTGGGATATGCTTTATGCTAACCTTAACCCTAACTAGTATTATGGTCACATATAGTCTTTGGTAAAGGCCTTTATTTTGTTGTACACATGCTCTGCATTATATGACAATCAGACACTGCTCCAGCTCTGAAATGTTCGATGGGCCACAGGATTATCTAAGAGGGGTGGGGGGGATGTAGTTGGCCGCATGGTCTCGCTCATGTGCTGTTGATTTGTGCTTCAGATGTGCGTTTGGTGGTTCCTGATGCTTTGTCTCTTTCTGTTTGTAAGGGTTGCATAGAAATCAGCTTTTCTAATGAGCTTTTGACAGACACTGAGTCTCAGGGAAATGGCTTTGAGTCTGTCAAAAGCATAGCCGCTAAACGGTTTTTTAAAATAGTGACCAAAGGGGTATTGAAACTTTCTAAATACCAATTTGCTGAAAATTGCAGTGTCATGTATTTGGCCGCAGGGCGGGCCAAGCTTATGATTGGATGGTGCAAGCCGGAGAATGATAACAATAAATTTGAAATCCGTTCAATTCAATTCAGTCCAGTCCATAAAGGTGTCATGGATGAACCAAAGTTATGGGGAGTTCCTTGACCACATGATTGTGCTTTAGTACAATTTCTGATGTCAGTGCAGGTAGGAGCCCATTATAAATGACTGCCTGAAGCATGCTGTTTGGGGTTCTCCTGCTCGGAAATGCGCTATGGATGATCAGCATCCCTTCTGCCTCCGCCACTGACTGCACAGTGAACGGCTCCACTCACCCCAGCACTTCCATCTCTCCATCTCTCTCCACCTCCTTTCTTGGCTCCTCAGGTGAGCCGGTCAGCTGGTCGGATGGCTCCAGCCTGCAGTTCTCTAACTGGGATCGGACAGGTGAAACACACACGCACCTGAAAGAACGCTGCGCGGTCCTTTTGCCGGGAAAACAAGGGGCCTGGAGACTCGTCGGCTGCAAGGACACGCACAGTCGCATCGTCTGCAAGATGCCCAGCTGTGAGTGTTGACCTTCGTGACGAACCCAAAATAAGAAATCCAGTATTATAATACTGTGTTATGGGGCCATGACAGGTACCAGGCTGGTACAAAGCGATCATAACTAAGGGTGAGATTTGCTGGGAGAAATAAAAAGAGATATTTCAAGTCTTTGTGGCTCAATGCTGAAGATCTTTTAACATTGCTCTGCCTCAGAGATACACCCTTACTTACTCCTATTGTCCCTCCCTCCCTCTCTCTCTCTCTCTCTCTCCCCCAAAGGGTCAGGAAGAACAAATGTAGTCCTCGCCTTCTTCCTCATCATTTTTATAACGCTGGTCACCTCTCTGCTCATCCTGCTGTACAGGAGGAACAGGTCACGGTTTTTTTCCACGGTGCGTTACCAAAGGCAATTTGACAGAGCCGACTGCACCAGCATTGTAACACAACTGGAGTGAGCAGTGATTTTTGCACTCAATCAAGGTGAAAACTCAGTTTCAAAAGCACCATAAAGCAAAAAGACTACAAAACTTAAGCTTTTTTGGTATGTCCACCCTTAATAAAAAAATTAATAATGGTCAGTTCTTGACAATATCTGGTGTTACTATGCAATCAATATTTCTTGTGCGTTGTGGAGTAACTCCGGCGAATACTGCAAACTCTAGATTTTACATGGCATTATTAAGTAATGATCAAGTGTAAATGGTGTTTGGAAAAAAATTGCGTATTGTTCATGCTGTTTTTTCTGTTCGCAATGCTTTCATCTTCAACAATGTCAAAGCCCCCTCCCCCTATCAAAACAAACATGGCTGATTGTCTCCATCGGTTATTGTCTAAATCCTGATCCCCGTTTAATCATTTAAAAAAAGAACGTGGGATAATCAAGTGGGTTCTCGTTCAAGCATGATAAAACTGAAAGCTGATTTCTAAATGAATGTTACAGCTGAAATGTATTTTTCGTACCTTTTTATGTGTTTACTTTTATGTCGAAATGTTCAATTTTTATCTGTGAATTGCATCGAATTGCACTATTGTCGAGCTGATCGTTTTCCTTTTGTACATTTTGTAAATATTTAAGCGACGACCATACCTTCGACTGGTTATTAACACTGGAAGCATTTCTCTGACTGTAAATAATGTTCTTTATTTTCCTGTATCAACTTAATATAACACTGAAGAATAAACTGGTCTTCTATATTTCTGCTCTATACATTTCTGTTGTATTATTAACCCTCGTTATCTTTGCCTTGTTTTCAAATATTTGTAGGCTGAAGATAAATATAGGCTACTGCCATTTTTTCAGTAATATAATAGACTGCACGTAACAAAATGTTACTGGGGTGTGAAGCAAAGCGGCACTTCCCACTCCCGGAGGCTGGGTGGACGGTGCGTGACGCGTTATTACATTTCGGCCTTGTTGGTCGAACGGGGAAAAAGTTTGTTCTCAGTTCTGTTTCCCCTCCGCTGAAAACATGGGCTCCAGGAGGCGATGTCGCCCGTCCTTCTTATGCAAACTCGTTGCTTTTGCGCTCTGTTGTAGTTGCTGTTTTGGCGGCGGTAAGTAATTAATCTTACTTATCTCACAATTATTTATTACCTTATATATCGCAGTCAAGCATGCTTTTACGCATTTTGTAGAATGATTGGAGAAAAGTTACTGAATTACAAGACGTTCGTAAATTAACTACTCAACGTTAACTTAGGCTATATTTTATATTATACATTGTATTTGATAATGTAGGGTTACTGTGTCCTTGGCGTAGCATAAACATACCCGTCTCGTATGTGAAACCCGTTACTCGGCTTCTGTTTGCAATTTTTATCCATCGCGCCTATAACTGTAGAAATACTGGGCAAAAGTTTAATACTGCGTTTGTTCAATATGTCAATGTGTGGTGTTTTGAAGTAATAGAAGCTTGGCGGTCAGTAGGCTTGTTGTTTAGTTGTCGTTGCTTGTGACGTTTAACCAGCTGGTTTGATGTAACCGGGTTAGAAAAAAAGAAGTAGCTTCTGTTTTATATCGGACTCAATTAGTGAAGTTCTTGCATATTTCATAAACGATCTTGGTTTGGCAAATAAAGCTGAAATAGAAAAAAAATCGCAAGGCACCTAAACATTTACTCAAGTCTCACAATACAAAGTTTTGCCAGCTAATCTTTTTTATATATAGTTAACAATTAATCTGACAGCCGTTTTTTTCTTTCGGTAGTACGAAACTTTTCGCAGAATCTGAATAAAATGTCACTGGTATTGGTAAGTTTTATGTAACATGTTAGTCATGTTTGAAAAATGGAATTATATATAGGAACACAGAGGTATTACGACATTTTATTTCAGGATACGTTTTAAAATGAGCGACGTGCAGTCATGAATCGGTCTGGTAAACAGTAATAGTAATAATAATTATGTAATAATAATCGGTCTGATCCGGAGACACGGCGTTTTAGCTGATACGGCTGAGAACAGGCTTTTCAAGTACTAAGTTGACAAATTTATATATGCTGTGTGTTGTTGATTTGTATTATTACGTTTTCGAAAAATTGTTTTGCTTGAAATTTATTCAGCCTTGAATGTTCACATTACTTATACGTCTTATAAGTAGTTATACTTTTAAGTTTTCATGCATTTTAGTTAAACATGTTAGGGTGAGACTGAAATAACTGTAGTCTGTGTGGAATTAGCAAATCGCGTTTCTGGGGTGAACTGGCAACTGTCTGTGGGGGGGGGGGTTTGCATAGATCACATTTGAGGACCAAATTGGCCCCAAAGTGTAGTAAAACCTGAAATTTCCCTACTTTTGGGGACATCTTTTGAGGTCCCCATTTGGATAACCTCAGTTTTATAAAAATCTGCGAATGCAATCAAAAAAATAAAAATGACAAAAGTCTTGTATTTGGGTTGGTTACTTATGATTAAGGTTAGGGATGGGTAGGGGTTAAGGGTGTTGTGATTGGGATTATGCTTTTTCCCATAGAAATGAATGGACGGTCCGCATTTAGATAGGAAGACCAACTTGTGTGTGTGTGGATTATGTTTATATTACATTTTGGGGAACATTTGGTCCCCATAAAACCTATTATTTTGACATTGTGGGGACCATTTTTCAGGTCCCCACAAAGAACTGTGAATGCAACCAAAAAAGCAAAAATGCCAAAAGTCGTAAAGAGTAAAGGGTGGGTTTCCTTCAATGAGCCCTGCACCTGCTGAGCGGGGCACCCAGGATACATGTGACACAGCTGTCACCTTGACAGGACACAGCGAGTCTTGCCTAGCCTTTTCAAAGCCATCAAGTCAGGGGTAACTTTCGTCCCTGACTCTCGGCTGATGATCTTGGCTGGTTCCCTCCTCAGAGTGTCCCGCTGACGGGCGCATGTGGGTACCTTTTGGGAACAGCTGTTACCATTTCGTCCATGGGGAAGAAGAAGACGTCTTCAAGAGCTACAGCATCGAGAGGGCCAAAGACCTCTGCCACGGATATGGTAGCGTGATACTGCCATTAGTCAACCAATTCTAACACACATACCCTCCTATCTGGCATTATTTTGAACAGTGTTGCCATATTGATTGTGTCTTCCTCTTCTCAACAGGCCTACTGACTGTAAACAGCAAGGAGGAGAACATGTTTGTCATCAAGTACAGCTCCGAAGTTTGGAAAGGCAACAGAAATGTGTGGCTTGGGATCTACTATGATTCTGAGAGTGAAGGTAACTACATGTGATCACATACTTTGAGTGGATTATTGAACAAAGCATTTTTCTGTTGGCCACATTCCTTCACTAAGCATTGTGTAATGCACAGAACAGAAAGAGGATGTTTATTTGTAAATGTGGGTGGGTGGGCGGGGGGGGGGGGTGTAATATTTGTTCCTAAAAGTCTCCCTTGTGCGTGAGAACACCTAGCATTTTCTCTCCATGATTTCTCCTGATTCGAGATATACATGCAGTTTTACTGGATTATTTAAAGTTGAAGCGGATATCAAGTTCAAGCCATGGAAAAAAAAATATCATAGGAGTCTCATGAAAAGCAATACGGCTCCACTATAGGAATACATCAGTTGTAGGGTTGTGAAAGGTTATTCGTTGTATAGGAAGGCATCAGTGCAGGTTAATGACTGGAATGCTTTTTTGGATTTTTGCTTCAACTTACTGATCTGAAGAAGAAAGTCTTGCCCAATGTTGTGGTTATTGGGGGAGTTTGCCAGGAAGCTGTAAGTGATCATCTCGATGTGACCCTCCCCCTCTCCCGTCACGGGGCCTGTGTTTTCGCAGAGCTGGTGTGGCAGACGGAGGAGCATCTAGATTTCACCAACTGGGGCAAATACTCGGATGACTTGGTCAGCATGGACACGTGTGGCGCCCTGAACGCCTCCAGCGGCATGTGGGACTTGGTCAGCTGCGAGGAGACCTCAGAGAACGGCGTGGTGTGCGAGACACTGCAGGGTGAGGGGCTGCCACCAGGGGGCGCATCCATCTCACACAGAGATGGAATCAGAATCGGAATCCCTTTATTTGCCGAGTACAAGAAGTGCGAGCCGTCTGTTTTGATTCATGGCGTATACAATTATACCTACAGTCAAGACAGAAATACAAAAGATAATAAATGGAATAAAAAAGGAAAATAAAAGTGGAAATAGATGTGCAAAAACGAAACATATATACAGGTGATGGCTTAATGGGCTAAGTCTCTGTGCCTGTGATCAGAAGGTTGCTGGTTCGACCACCGGCCTCAGCAGAGCAGTCGTGTGTCTGTGGGCCCTTGACTTGAGCTACAGGGATGCCGCATGCTAGCTGACCCAACACTGTCCTCAAAGCTTGCTCTCACCTCTGAATGTGTCTATGACTCATGGAGATCAAGATGGCGTAGGCAAGAAGGGAATTTCTACAAAAGGATTCATGCAGTATCATTATTCTATTCTATTGAAATTCACAAATTGGCATCATTTGAAATTGAAAAATATCGACTCGTTGTGTTAGAAAGGTCATCATAACGTGATCCTTTGGCTGCCAATACTGATATTTTCCATTTCCTCTTTCAGAACCAGAAAAGCCCAAAAAGAGTAAGTAGCCATTATAATTACCCATAGGGAGTTTCCTGGTAAGTTCAGCCTTAACCCTTTTCCTGCTACTCTTCCCTCCCAAGGTAACAGCTGGCTCCTCTCAGCTCTGGTCATCCTCAGCGTTGTGGTCATCTTGGGAATCTCGGCCGTCATCTGGTTCATGCAGCAGAGGCACAGTTTTGGCCCCGTACTCTTCACCGCGTTCGAGTACCACCCGCCGTTCCGGGCCCTCTCACCCGACGAGGCCTGTCTCATGGAGGTGGAGGAGACGGGGCCCCTGCCCTAATGAAGCCCCTCCCCCAAATCCCCATCTGACCAATGGAAGTAGGCGGCAACTTATTGCATCACAGGAAGTGACACTTGGCTTTCAGAAGCATTTGGGTTCAAATTTCTGTTTCTGGTATATAGCAGGGTAGGGGGTGTGTTGGGTGGGGGTGGGGGTCCTGCACCAGGTAAGGACTGCCCTCACCTCGCAGTTGTCAGGGTGTTAAAGGGGCCTGTTTTCAATGCTGGCTTTTTCAGTGTCGCATTTCTCAGAAACGACACTGCATTTTAAATATGTATTTGCCATCGATTTTTGCTACATAGCCATATTTTGACTTGTTACCCTTTAAAATAGGTGCCCTTCAGAATCAGTATTCTTGCACTGTTACGGGTAAAGCTGGTGTTTTTGTAAAATGTGAAAAAAAGTTTGTGTGTGTCAGACTAGGCTTGGAAGCAGTACTAGAGATCAAGGAGCTTAAGTGTTTGAAATGCTGTATACCCAAGTGCACTGCGCCCACTGTACAGTATATTATTGGGGATTTAGCATCCAGTCGCTGCTGAGATGATTTTTTTGGGTTCTTCGGATAAAATGCACCGCGTAAACCTCTTTTGAGGCGCTGTGGCGTCACATTCCTGGATTGCAGTTCTCGTTTAATTGTGATAATGCAGTAAAGCAGCTAAACGTTTGAAATGTAAAGCCACAGAATATCGCATTCAGGCTCACGCGGGAGGGTGTGTTTGTGCTGTTTAACGTTTAACATTCACGTGACCGAGAAGCTTTGGCTGTCAGCGGTTTGATGGTTTTTGAGGCGGGATGGGATTGTGTTCAGTCACTGTGTTTTTAGTCTGTATGCAGTTATTAATAAACGGTTGCCGGGTGGTAATCGGAGTGCTCCTTTAAATTTCTTCTGCATTTCTGTTGATCCACGCAGCTAAATCCATTTCAAGTAGTTTTCATTCCGGAGAGAAAATAAGTGTAAGTGTAGCTTTAAAAAAAAAAAAAAATCCATCACATCTTAATCATTAAACCATTAGGACAAAGGTTAAGTCAAAGGATGGGTAAATGAACAAGAACGGAATCCATTTTTTATTATCTCGTTAAAAATACAGGGTCGAACAGTGTGGAGAGTTCTCACATTTCCTCCTCTGTGCATACTGTGAGAAAGAATGCATCGTACATAATCAAGTGTCCTCGAGGAGGGTCTGGCTTCTCCTGCCGGCTTCTCCTGGTGGAGGGCTGGAGCAGGAGAGGGGGTGCCCGGTTCCAAGGCCGAGGCGGCCGCAGGGCACAGTGATTTTGACTGCGGTAGTAGTTTTAAAGCACTTGTGGCATTTAGAAGTCACACAAACAATTCACATAAATGGTTAAGTAGCAACTAAAACATTTCCCAAAAGCATTTCCTTATCTTTATAAAACACTCATTACGGCTAGAATTTTCTGAACGAGTTCTTGCCCTTTTCCCCTAAAACATCTATATAGACTTTACATATAAGCTTATCACCACAGCATGAAATGCAGTCCCGATTAACCAGCCGTTACTCAGCAGCGCTCTTCCTCATCAGAGTCACCAAAGTCGACGGATGGACTGTTCTGCCGTGCCTCCTCTTCCTCAGACTCCCTGTAAGCCCCTGAACGAGAGAGAGGAACATTAGGTAGGACAATACTAGTCTATTTATCGAAATTCTCGATGTACGGCCCCGGATGGACCCTCATCCAAATTAGAGGGACAGCATGTTACGGAGGCCTTTTGTGACACCTTTGTCACCCCGGCCTGGTTAAACGTTGCAACATAAAGCCGTCGTCATGAATCATAGTGGCTGAAAACCCAGTTTATGCTTTTGTATCATTTTTGAACAGTTCACAAATCACTTAAGTGACTTTCCCAGTACATCTTGTGAAACACACTCCTTTTTCAACAACCCCCCCCCCCTCCCCAGCCACTTTGAGATTACAGTGAATGACGGAGAGTCGAAACGTACTTTCAAGACTGTCCATGTGCTCACGCAGCGTTCTCGCCAGGTTGAAAAACTGAGCGAGAGAGGGGGGGGGGGAGGAAGACATTTTACGGGGAGACGGAGCTCAAGCACACATAAGACTGACGTTTCCGCCGGTATAGTCACACAAGCAGCACAGCATCTCCGGGGCAACGCGGCCCGGTCCGCCCCTTACCCCGACTTCGTTGGCGATGCCCAGCGTGTCGGAGAAGCGCTGCTCACACAGGTGCAGAAGGACCACCAGGTACAGCCCACAGCTGATGAACTCGTACTCAGACTGTTCAGGGGAGGGGCCACAATAAGATCGTGTGACTCACCTATAAATTATACCACCCCCCGCCAGTCCACATTTATTTTCTGTTCGATTGGCTAAACACCTGATTTTACCTTTTGGCTGGGGGGGGGGGACTATACAAAGTATTACACTTGCTAGTCTAAAAAAAGGCCTTCATTGGTATTCGTCTTACATCCATCTCTTAAGGGTCATAAAAATGGCAGAACCATGGACGATAACACCGATTTAAGTGTTTGTGAATGGGAAGATTTTATATGTTGCTGTGATTTTGTATATTAATGTCACACAGACCGGAATAAGCAGAACCAGTGTTTGCAGGGGGGAGGGAGGGACACTAGCTTCAGATAACTAACACGTTGCTCTAAGCTGGCCTGTAAGTGACGTTATCTATCTATCAGTTTTCGGTTGGGTAAAACGCAAATTCAGTTAGATGACCCCAATTGTGCATCATGGTGAAACTGGTTAACAATAATATGAAGCTTATTGTACTCTGTCTATGAAGTTCTTCAAACACAACACAATGGGAATCTTACATTTAAGTGGCATTAAGGAGGCTTAGAAATGCCTTCTAATCTAACTTGCCTAAACCTGCAACAGCAGACTGTTGCGTTATCTGGCTGTACATATGCTCAGCAGTGTAGGGGCAGAGTAGCGGCATTGGTGCTGAGTAAGAGCCTCAGGAGCGCCAAGCGCAGCTCGGAAATGACTCGCTGACCCTCTCATGGGTCCTGTGCAGCTCGTTGATGTCAAAGTCCTCGATGTCGAGCTGCAGCTTCTCCCTGCACAGCTCACAGGTGGTGATGGCCTCCAGGCTAGAACCTGGGGGGGGGGGGGGTGGAAGGTCACCTTAAGGCTGCGTCTCAATACTGGCATCTCCACTCACCTAGATCTGTGCATTCTGAAGATGCAAACTGAAAATCCGTCAAAGGAAAAATCAGTAGATACGTAGGACAAAATAATTCGTTCTCATAAAGCTAACTCACGGGAAGTCCATTCCACGCTGAAGTACGAGATACGGATCTTAATCTCGCCGAGTGATAAATAGAAAGTATTATTCATCTGACATCCATTAATGGAAATACACTCTGTCCACAATTCAACTCTGCTGATAATTTCTGCAAAACTAATGGAAACGGGGCTAATGTGAGTGTTTACCGGCGCCCGTAATACCTGAGCTGATTTTAGCAAGCAGCCACTTCTTCATGCATTCCTGATGGACACACTGGAGGCTTCCTGTACACCGGCAGGGTTCGATCAGCGGGTCGGGGGGGGAGTTGTGTCCCATTTGACAGATGCGGCAGAGTTCCCCCTCCTCCTCATCAGAATCCTCCAACAGCAGGCTAAGGAAATGGGGGGGGGAGGCACAATTTTTGGTCGAATTACTTCAGATTTAGCCTAACTCATTGTTCATTACAGCTACATATACCTACATTCCTGTCAGTACATAATTAAATGGTGGCTGATTAATTACAATACAAATTTGAGGACAGCCTAATTAAAGTATGTTAGCTCTCTCTGTGGTTTTGCTGGTTACCTCTCCTGTATTTTCTTCACTCTCTCTGGATCTCGGGACGAGGTGGGCTTCTCCTCCCTTTGCTCTTCAGAAGGGATCCTTCTAGGCGCCATCATGTCGATGGTGAGCGCCGCATTCCCACTGGCGCCCTCCAGTGGCGAAGGCATGGAAAGTCGCAGCAAGGATCTGGTGATTCCAGATAGATCTTGGTCTCCCCCTGTGTGAGGGGGTGCTGCTCCTGCCCCTCGAGGCTCTTCCTCCTCATCCTCCTCCTCGGTGGCGTTGATTCCCGAGGCATGCGTCGTCAACGGCGGGCACCGTGAGTTCGGGAATGCCGTAGCGGACATGGAGAGCGCCGTCTCATCTCGGCCCTCCCGCCTCCTTCGTGGGAAGAGCGGGGCGCACCGGTTCCTGAGAGATGACGACAGCCAGGAGCCGGAGGCCCGTGGAGACTCCGGTTCCGACTCCGTGCTGTTCCCCCACGGTACAGGCGGCGTGCTCTGGCGTCTGCGGCGGAGGAAGGGCAGCCCAGGTGAAGGATCGTCCAGACTCCCTAACCCTCCTCTCTGGAGGCTGCTGCCAGCCTCATTGGGAACGGCGGCGGAGCCAGAACCGCCAGAGTCCTGGGAGGAGCGTCTGGAGAACAGGGTGGAGGACATGCTGCTGGCCAGGCGAGACAGCAGCGGCTTGGTGCCATGGCGCTCCGCGAGGTCGCTGGGCCGCCTACAAGGGCGATACAGCGGGGAGACGCCGGGAGACCTCTCAGGGAGGCTGTCCGTCCAGTCTCCTGACCGAGACGTCCGAGTTCGTACCCGAGGATCCACTGACGATTCCCGGGGCTGCTCAGAAGCATCGCTGCACGAGTCGTGGGAGAGCCAAGATGGCTGATAGTCGGAGGGCAGGCGGTGAAGGTAAGAACCACTCATTCGACTGGAGGAGACGCCCTCTTTGGGCCTCGCTCCTTGTGCGTAACAGGAAGTGACACGCTCCTGATCTGAAATACCCACAGATAAAAAGAACCGGCCCTTAATATTTAATATCGTCAAATGTCAAACAACTACCAGCACACTTTGTTCCAGACATCTATCTTATATTCACAGGAAATACAGGAAGGACCATGAGCAAGTCAAGTTCGGCCTAATAAGCAATTCATGATTTAAGTAACGGTAACCAGCTCTGAGTGACGTTCGTCATTCAGAAAGTATTACAGCATCAAACCCACAAAAGCATCATGCATACATCACTGAAAGAAAAAGTGACAGTTTACCCCTTTACTTCCGAATAACTTAATAATTTCTTTAAAAAATTTATTAGCCAGTATTTAACCAGCTGTAGGGCTTGGTGAATGTGTTCTGGATTAGCCTGCAGAATACATTACAGGTTTTGTTAGTTTTTGTCTCCCTATCATATATTATAGATAATTTGTCAGTCATATTTGTATTCAAATTTATTTATTTTTTTACATCTCGTCTTCAAACCTTTAACGGTGCAAATAAGACCAACGTGAACCAGAGTGTGATCTTACCGTACAAAATACCGTAAATAACATGTATCACCCAACCCCCACGCCGATTCTCTCCCCAGTGTTAGTCATGTCGGGCTTGGCTGGATGCAGCCTCCCCTTGCCAGCCAGGAAGCAGATGACCACTGACGCACATGCCCCTGATTCACCCCCCCACAGCACCCTGTCCTCCTTCCTGTCGCTGCAAATCACGATCTCATAGAACCCCCCCCCCCCCCCCCCCCCCCCCCCCCCCCACGCCAACCCCCCCACCCCCCCCCCCCCCCCCCCCCCCCCCCCCACACACACACACACACACACACACACAACCATGGGCCCCAAAATTATTGAAGTAGCACAAAAAGTCTACAGCTATCTGAGGAATGAAATGACGTGGCGCAGGGAGACGTCTGAAGGCCCACTGGCTGGTCACCGAGATAAATCAGGCTGATTTAAGCTGCCCCCTAAACCTAACGCTCCACCATGGTCTGTGACTTAGCCTTAGCCCCAGCCTGCCCCTTGGAGCCTCTGAGCCTAACTCCAGAAATCTCTCTACTATAAAAAAGAACAGCAGGGCGGCGCCAAACCCTCGAGGGGT